AATTTAGATATGAAAGGTTCGAGTTTCTTAACTAAAGTTTTTGTCAATATTTTATAATCACTGTTGAGTAAAGATATAGGTCTGTAATTTATCATTTTTGTCCTGTCCGTATCGTGTTTAGGAATGAGTGTTATATATGTCCTGTTAAAATCTGTAGCACAATCCTCTCTTTTATGTATGTCTTGAAATGTAGTGTGTAAAAGGAGTATTAAGTCATTTTTGAAGGTTTTATAAAATTCACTGGTTAGTCAGTCTGGTCCTGGAGCTTTATTTAGTTTTAGTCCGTCTATCGTCTTGGATATTTCCTCTTTAGTAATTGGCGCGTTGAAATTGGAACAGTCATCGTTGTCTAGCCTTGTTGTGCAATTAAGATAATGTTCTTGTATTTCATAGTCTGTATCTTCCTTGTTGAAGAGATTTTGATAGTATAAAGTAAACTGACGTTTTATTTTTTCCAGGTCATTTGTTATAGTCCCGTTGTCATCTGTTGTGCTACATATCTGTTTACTGTTGCAGTGTATTTTTTCCAAAATTGTGTTGTAATGGGAAGGCTCTTCGTTGCCTGTCATGTCTATTCTACTACGTATTAGCGCTCTCTTATGTCTATGTGTTTGTATTTTGTTTAATTCTGATTCTACTTTTTCAATTTTGTCCTGTGATACACTATGACTGATTAACGTATCTAGATGTCTGTCCGATAGTTCTTCCATAATTGTCTGGCTATTTGATAGAGTATTTCCGTACAATATATTTAAAATCTTCCTTGTGCTCTAGTGCATGTGTGTTTGATTCTCTCTGTGTGAATTCTGATTCTAGCTTCCTTATTTCTGCGATGTATTCTCGATTTTCTAGAAGTGTGTTGTTGAGTTTCCAATATGTATTCTTTGTTCTGAATTTTGCATCTCATTTTGTTTGTCTTATAAATAAAACGCGAGTAAGCTCCCCCAAACTTTGTCTTAAATTGGTAAGTAGGCCTACCTGTAAGGTTTGGGATGGCATTTCCCATGTAATCTGGCTTTCCATGTAAAAATAGTAGTTACGTTTGAGACAAATAAACGCTTCCTTTTCAAGAAAAACCGTCCCATATCGGACTAAACAGGCCTTATGGATAATAACACGTTGACGTGTTATATGTGGGTTAGAATAAATTCCCTGCGACATCCAGTAAAGAATGCAAATATAAAAAGCTCTTATACAACAGTTAAGTTTGGGCTGACATTTTTACTGAAATCGGGCAATAAAAATATAGATGCTTGTGACAAATCAGCTATTTTGTTTTGTTAAGAAAGCATAGTAAAAACTTGTTGAGAATGTGATATAAAATTGTCACATTCTGTTTTTTTTTTTTTTTGAGAAATCAAAGAACAATTCAAGTGCCCAATCCAATTACCAAAAAACACTCAGAAGTTGTCGGGAACCAACACATAAGATGATAGAGCATACGACCGCTAACCTGTAAGTCTCGAGTTCAAATCCCGAGTTCGTGTCAGTAGAACGTCCATGAGCCTACCCAGCTCTGACTTACGTTAGGGCGGCCGGGCATAGCCTTGACCACACTATCCCTTTAGATGCCGATGTTACTGAAACAGGTGAAATCTACTTCACCAATTCCATAGATTGTCAGCACCTAACTCAAGTTATTTTAGAAAATGAAAATAGAGAAATGTACCATTTCCGTGGATTGGAGGTCATTCAAAATTTTAAAGTAAGTAAGCATAAGATATTATACTTACATAAAACAGTCCGTTACCGAACTGAAGCAGTACTCAAGTTACCGTATTCTCACGGAGAGAGAATAACAGCACATTCGGTTACAAGTACCAGAAATATTTAAAAAGTTGGTAGAAACCTAGGCAAAAAAACATTTACTTAACTGTAAAATTCCATCCACATAACTGAAACAGAATACAAGCTATTGGCTTTTGAGAAACCAAAAGTGGAGTAAGTATCAGTTCGTTTTGCAGAGACTCGCCCAAAAATTGACAGAAAACTACATACTTAAAATAATAATACTATATGACATTTCATCAATACAACTGAAACGGTACTCTTACGGGCAGATAGACAGACAAACAGACAGACAGACACATACACAAATACATACACTGACATACAGCCATAAGCATTTCTTTATAGTTTTTTAAAAAGTAGTGTAAAATTTATTTTCTAGTTTTTTAGTGCATTATTACATATAAGCTTGTTATTAAAACGTTTTTTATATTGTTTAAAGTAATTAAAAATATAGCAGTACATAAATCAACCCTAAATAAATTAAAATAAAACAAAAAACACACCTGACACGTTGAGGTGAATCACACTATGAATTTAAACGAATTTTTTAAAGCAAAATAATAAAACTCCTTCTAGGATTTCCCACCTGCGAGTATAAGGCCTACACACATCCAACGTCAGTAGTAACGGATCGTTGAGTTTGGTAGATACTAATCTGAGACGCTTGTAGTTGAGATTTAAGATGCTCAGCCAGGGGAAGAAAGGATTACAACTCGACGCAGTAGCGGATCTACCATGCCACCTAAACACGTTACGATTGGGGGTTTGGAATAGAGGTGTGTGTGTGTGTGTGTGTATGGGAGGGGGGGTGGAGGGGATACCTGGTCGTTTAGGGGACCCAGAGCAGACCACAAATATAATAAAAATATTAATGTTAAAATTTAATTTTCGTGTAATTTTTTCCATCGGTGTTGCTTTGAAGAAATCTACCATAGCTGTGGTTAAGTTGTCTTTAACTCAAGCTGGTGCGTAAATGAATTAATCGCCACTATACAAACTGTATTGTGAAAGATTGGCAACCGTGAAACGACTTCAGTGACGTAATGTTCTCCCTTGCATGGCCGAATAGGGTCCCGCAGCACGTTAACCTCGACACAACAAAAGTACACGGACGTCTGCACGTCTTTCTCTGAGACAATGGCCCACTGACCACCTATTCCTAATGCGCCATGGGTCGACACAATGAACCAACTTATCCAACTAGCTTTGGCTATATAATATCATGCCTAATTAGTTCTAATGTGACTTTGTTGAATATGGTGGGCCCCTTATCCACCAAACTGATGTGTCTTTGTTCCATATGGTGGGCCCCTTTATCCACCTAATTGATGGCCATTTGTTCCATATTGTGGGCCCCTTATCCACCTAATTGATGGCCCTTTGTTCCATATGGTGGGCCCCCTTATCCACCTAATTGATGGGCCTTTGTTCCATATGGTGGGCCCCATTATCCACCTAACTGATGTGCCTTTGTTCCATATGGTGGGCCCCTTATCCACCTAATTGATGGCCGTTTGTTCCATATGGTGGGCCCCTTTATCCACATAACTGAATCGCCTTTGTTCCATATGGTGGGCCCCATTATCCACCTAACTGATAGGCCTTTGTTCTATATGGTTGGCCCTTATCCACCTAACTGATGGGCCTTTGTTCTATATGGTTGGCCCTTATCCACCTAACTGATGGGCCTTTGTTCTATATGGTGGGCCCTTATCCACCTAACTGATGGGCCTTTGTTTTAAAGGGTTGGCCCACTTATCTATCTAACTCTGATTGGCCTTGGCTCACGATGGTGGACTTCCCTGACTCATAAAAGTGTAACTCGTAAATAAGAAGAGGGCATACGACTGAAACAGGGGCCATTTTATCGTAGGTTAAATGAAGGGGCAGATTTCATCGAGAGTCGTTTTGTCGGATGTCCAGCTGACCGGAGCCATAATGTCGCGGGCCATTTAGATGGACTTGGTGCTATATGGGTGGGAGCCATATGGCAGATTGATTAATGCTGTCTTTTAATCAAAGACCTTTCAAAGTTTAGATCCCTCCTTACTTAAATTTAATATTCTCTCAACAGGCAGTAGCTAGAAGCTGTTTAAAATCAATACGTAAGAAAGTTAACAGAAAAGATACTAAAGATTTTATTAATTCAGATAGTTTAATTTATTTAACATACTTATAAAATTTAAATACACACACACACACACACACACACACACACACATATATATATATATATATATATATATATATATATATATATATATATATATATATATATATATATATATATATATATATATATATATATATATATATAGAGCCTATTTATATATAAGCAACCTTTCTTTTTATTTCGATCAGTCGGTGCTATTTCTAGGAAAACGTCCTTAAATATGTATACGAAGACTGTATATATATATATATATATATATATATATATATATATATATATATATATATATATATATAAATATAAATATAAATTTATATATATATATATATATATATATATATATATATATATATATATATATATATATATATATGGGTGGGAGGCCTTTTTTTAGTTCCGCCACTGATTCTAAACTGTGTTACGATAAAAACGGCGAACAGCTAATAGCGCACATTTTTCTTTGCCTATTAAAGAACTATTAAATCATGCGATGCATTTTTAAAAATCTGTTTCTGGCCGGCTGTCTGAACCAAGTATAGAGTGTGGTGGGGGGGGGCATTGTTGTGCGAAGGTCATCTAACAAAACTTAGTCCGCCTCAGGTGTAACATCAAACGCTAACGGAACAAAAGAAAACGTTTTGCCAACATTAGTGGTTCAGTGCGGTTTGTGTCATTCTACAGCACATTACACGACAAGGGGGGAGAAGAGTGTTATTATTGAACTGACAGGTTAGGCCGTTACTTTTTGGGTAACAGTGAAGGAAGCTATGCTAAGGTCAGTGATACCTACACTCTAATTGTAGAATACAGTCATTGCAACATGTTATACATGCATTCTACAATACCTGTATCTTGCTATATATGTAACCTAAAATATTAATAGCCTGCAATACCTGTAACCTGGTATATCTGTATTCTAATATACCTGTAACCTGGTATATCTGTATTATGATATACCTGTAACCTGGTATATCTGTATTCTGATATACCTGTAACCTGGTATATCTGTATTCTAATATACCTGTAACCTGGTATATCTGTATTCTGATATACCTGTAACCTGGTATATCTGTATTCTGATATACCTGTAACCTGGTATATCTGTGACCTGCTAAACTTGTAATCTGCTAAACCTGTAACCTATTTGGTGTAATACACGTTAACACGCAATATTGTTTAACTGAGTTGTGGGAAATTCAATCCAACATTACATTTAAAACGAAGAAGATGAAGAAGAAATTATTATTATTATTATACTGTGCTATATTAATATATACCCACAATTGTAATTCAGAGTTAGAGAAAATGAAAACAAGAAAACATCTTCTTAGTATAAACTGTACCACAATAGTTTGGCGAAACGATTGTAAAAAATTATAATGGGCTGTTTGGGCCCATCATCTAAGTAAAGAGAAAAGCCTTGTACATGGGCAACACCTGGCTCTTCTCAGCGTAGGCCGGGCTTTGTGTTTGGATTTTTAATGTGCAATCATCCATTGGTCTATTAGACAATGGAGCCATACGACAAAGCAACTAGTGATCTGGAAAGTCATAGAGACGTTATCGTGAAAACGAAGCCTGAACTGTGGAGCGAAATTATAGAGCCGCCCTAATCGGGTCCGGTGGGGAAGAGTAAATGCAGCTTTTTGTTCCTCAGGTATTTCCAACTTTATGATTAAGCCAAGTTAACAAATGATGACTTTCGTTGAAAAGGCCTAGGTAATATTACTAATGTTTGAACTTCTTAAAATTTATCATTACATCTTTTAATTTTTACAAAGGACTTTAATTATTGGCTAGTAGTTCCACATCTGATTTTTTAAAAAGTGTCTTGAGCTGTTCAGGGTTATCAATATTATTAAAACACCAATTAATTTTTTACAAAAATATAATCGCCACGAAACAGAACATCAATGTCCTTCGGCCCGAGTTGCCCAGCCCTCAACACGTGTGTCGTGTAGCCAAATTTGTCAGCGAACTCTCAATATTATTAAAACACCAATTAATTTTTTACAAAAATATAATCGCCACGAAACTGGACATCAATGTCCTTCGGCCTGAGCTGCCCGGCACTCAACACGTGTGTCGTGTAGCCAAACTTGTCAGCGAACTCTCCAATTTCTTTGGCCGCTTGCTCCGTCTTCCCGCTCCACTCCATCTGTATGACTTTCACGTCAAGGGAAGAAAAAAATTCCTTCCCACAAGCCAGTGCGTGGTGCTCCGATGTTTCGATGTCCATCTTGACGTAGACAGACTTAGACTTGACCAGAGGAATCAGGTCGTCCAGACAAATTGACTGGACAATGTCGCCGGCGGTTGAGTTCTCAACAACAGCTGTCCCTCCTATATTTCCTCTAAAACGAAACGAAATGTAATTTCTTCATGTTTGTATTTGATGTATTCATCAATAAAACGGATTAGCATAAAGCTAAATAATACGATACTCAAAACAAAGATTTATCATTAAATATTGTTTAAAAATAAAAAATAAATGATCATGCGTTGCTTCACCCCCTAACCTATATAAATGAGTGTTCTTAATCGTTCCATACAAGTTTTCGACAATTCAAGTTTATTAACATATTGAAAATACAACTTTTTAAATACTATTATTTAACGCGAATTTATTTCCTCTGTGAGCAGCCGAAGTTGAATTTAACATAACATTTGAAATGTTATGTAGTGGCACTAAGACCAACTGCCGATACTTTACACATACAGTCAGTTACACTAGACTTAGAGAGCTAGGTGGATTCAAGGGCTAATTTCGGTCTTGAGTTCGTCAACCTAACTCAATACTTTATGGTTGTTTAATGAATAATCTACCATTAAAAACACTTAATATAGCACGGAGCTTCTAATAACATATATTTTGATTGAAAAATTAAATAGCCAAACTCACGAGTAAGTTTTAAAGCCCAGCTTCAAGCTGCGGTCCCTGTAGATGGCGTTCTTGACGACGGTAACCAGGTGCGACAAGTTGCTGAGCTTGAGCGAGTGCTGGAGCAGCTGGATGTTGCTGTCCAGGATGTCCACGGCCACAACGTGCCTGCCCAGGGACGCGGCCATCAGTGTGTACTCACCCACGTTGGCGCCGAGGTCCACAAGCTGCATGTTGGGGTGCTCCTGAGGAATAAAATAAACGAGCTGGTTCTTGTATTGGATAAAGAAAATCAACATAGCAGAGATCGATGTATGGGAGATAGCTAGTATAGTGCGGAAAACACAGGGAGCAGGACATTACACCACGTTAATTCTCCCCTGCCCCCTCCCGACATTCCCACCCCGTCATTACCCTCGGAGCATTTCCCCCCTTCCCCTTATGATAATAACCCCCCCCCCCCCCCGGGTAATTACCCATGGCTCAAAATTCTCACTCTACAAAATGAACAATATAAAATATATTATACATTTCTTAGAAGGAGATGGAGTTCTACTGTTCTTAATTGTAATGATCGGAAGGGATTTCCTCCAACATAACAACCTAAAATCTAGTTCAGTTTATTTTTAATCATAAACAGAGCGAATAAAGCTGATGTCTTTATTTCCTAATGCGTAGAACATATCTCTGCTCAAATAAAATACCCTACACCGCGGTCCAGAGGCGTAGAGACCCTTCCCGGCGCCCGGGGACAAACTTTCAATTTTCGATTTGCACCCCCCCCCCCCCTTCAAACTTTCGAGATTTGCAACCCCCCCCCCCCCCCTCAAACTTTTGATTTGCACTCCCCCCTCATATATTTTTTTATATTTCTAAAGCAAAAATGCAGCTAAAATAATATTTTAATCGGTTTTTCCAACCCATTTTGGCGCCCCCTAAGGTCTGCGGCCGGGGACATATGTGCCCCCCCCCCATTCGTTACGCCTCTGCCGCGGTCATGCCAAACAGTGACACCAGATTTAAGAAGTAAGTTTACGTCATTCTAAAAATCCAGTCCTTTCGTTTATCTACCATCGAGCAGATTTTAGAATCTTACTTAATATTACATGACAGTTTAGTGCAAGATTAGTGTAACTTATGACATATAAAAAGCTATTAATGGTATATCAATTTAACACGCATATAAGCGTGGTCGGGTATTACAATATACATAGATTATACAAGAACATACCCTCAAGACTTTCATCATGTACGTCATTAAATCATCCTCCCACAATCTGTTACCCTGAAAAGTTGAAACACAAAATCATTTGCATATTAATTTGTGTTAAGATTTGAATCAACTTGCATACACTTCAATCAATGCAAACATGGAAATGATGGTCTATAGGTGACTTAAATCTAATGCGTAGCGAATCTAGATACGAAGGTAACTATTTCGCAAATATATTCTTTCTATTCTGTTTTTCAAATGGAAAAAAAAAACGAGACAGTATTTTTTTCAACATTGAAAATACAAAGCCAGTCCTTTCCCATGTGTATAAATAATTCAAACCCATTTTGCAATGTTAAAGTTTACATAACTTAAGATACTCTCTTAATGTATGTCAACAGAGCGTTTAATCTTGAGCCATAAATCGACAGACACGCTTCCTTTGACATGGAGTCGTGTAACCGTGTTATTCCGCTGAGCAACACATTCAATATTTTAGGTGTCACGATCTCCATAATTTGAGACCCACTCACCTGGATAGCACCGGATATCCACACGTCCTCTTTAGCGTCGTGAGTGCAGATGGTGACCCCAGGTGGAGCTTTAGCTAAATGGACGCAGTTTTGTGGCCTTGGGAGGGATTCATTCGGAAAGGACGGCACCACGTTTACGATAGGCTTAACCTTGACCTCTTGAACTTTGACCTCTTGAGCTTTAGCCTCTTGTACATTAAGTCGTTTCCACAGCGTCTGCACTGTTTCATTAAAACTCTGAACTTGAGCTCTGAGGAGCTTAATCTGGGTCAAGGTCTCAGGGTTTTCCTCGGCGTGTCGGGCATAGGTCTTCTCGAGTACAACGGGGTTTTTGTGCAGGTCTAGGTGGCTTGGCGTAAAGGAGAGCGGCCTGTTGGGTTGGGTTTTTCCAACGTAGACGTAAATCTGATGATACAAAATTTTAATTTAAAAAAAAATGACAACCCAGAAACCATTATTACACACATGTCTAACTGAACAAATATCAGACTATCTTGTTGGTATTTAAAAAGAAGCGGGTTTGATCTTCCTGAACTTTCTCATATAATAAAATAAGTTCTTTGTATACGTAAAAAGTTAGAAAAAAAAAACGGTCCGGTAGAAGTGATCTTTTTTTAGCAATACTTTACTAGAATTTAAGTTCAGACAAATGTCTTTTCGGGAAAACTATCTTTGGTCAAGTTTCCTCTGACACTCATCTTTTATAAGCTGCATTTATCTAAATGTTTCAATAAATAGATTTCAAATGTATACTAAGTGGAGTATAATAGAAACTATTTTGTTATTAACTGATAAAACGATTAAAATGTTTGACATCATTTCAAAATAACGTAGGTCTGAATATAAGTATTGTCATATATTTTCTAGACATAGACACAATCTAGACACAGACAATACTGTACAACGACATAGACTATGGAATAGGCTCCAGAAGATAGCGACTAACACATAAGATAGACTCCCTGTATCACATATTACATATGTACGCTGCATCTGGCCACAAATCAATAAAGATTATAACTCGATAATAAACAAATCGACAGAAGAGTCTTCAATCAATAGTTTTATGAAATATTTTACTACCTTACTCTGAGCTATCAAAACGTAATTCATCAACGATATCCATTAAGATTGATTTATTTTTGTGTGTTGATGGTAAGGTCCTTTATCAGAACACGTTCAACCAACAAACATTCTCCTGCCTAGACCAACGCTTCTGAGGGGTCACCCATTTATGACGTCCAAAAAAGTTGGGAGATGTGACGTCAGTTTAGGAGTTGAAATTGGGTTAAATCCTGAGCTATGTTTTATTGAATAGTTTAATATTTTAATAAAATTACCTAGAGATTTCTACCTAGATGTCCTGAGTGTGCCACACAGACAAAACAAGCATTTTAGGTTTTTCATAGACTAGATATGGTATTATTTTGTCATGATAGTTGTCTACGAATCTATGAAGATTGCGACTTGAAGCAAAAATATTAGACGTATCAATATTCGATTTATCCACCCAATTTATAATTTAAGTTATACTTAATTTAAAAAAAAAAACAATTAAAACAATAGTTTCTAAGTTTAAATGCAGCAAAACGTAAATCCTAATTCGAAGAATTTAACCTTTTCCTTATTGATTTCAAATATTGATTGAGTATGAGTGTAGGATATGGGCTATTGATGGCAGAGGCGTATCGACCCATTACGACCCTCGGGGCCAACAATCGATTTTGCGCCAACCCTTATTTTCCTTAAGTTTGTGAAAAAGCACCCCCCACCCCATACAATAGAAAGAAGTCAGGCGCTTTTTACCATAAAGTATTAATGTTTTTATTTTTCTGTCACACAATTAATGTAAAAACAGTTATGTAGCAGTCTATTCACTTAACTTCGACTGTGTATAATGCAGTAGTGCAGCTCAGAGTGTGCTTTTTTCTACCCCATTTGACACTCCCTCTAGGGTTGCGCCCTTGGCAACCGCCCCACCCACCCTCCCCTAGCTACGTATCTGAATGGCAGTCAGTACTCATATATCGACATAGGTATTTACAATAAAATAAACCTTTGGATCCTTAACTGGACTGAGGTAAATCCTCTTCAGCGTTTCTTCCAGACTTTTTTCTCCGGAGGGGGGGGGGGGGGACTTGAAATTTTCGGGAGGGGGGGGGGGGGGCGGTAGACTTTCTTTGGGGGGGGGCGGACACTGTTAAAAGTATATATTTTCTATATACATTTCATTTTGTTCGGGGGGGGGGCGGTAGACGTTCTTCGTGGGGGGGGGGGTCTCCGCCCTCCCGAAGAGATGCCTGATCCTCTTTGGACATTGATTAGAAGAACACGATGAAAATACTTTAACTCGCGATCATGTCGTATCAGCTTGATAAACATAGATTACATGATAAAGAAATATTTATAATTGTGATGTATTGTTAAAAAAATATTGATGAAAGTAACGATTAACAAATGGCTAATGATTTAAAGGACGACATCTTTTTACCTGACATGGACCACCAATGATGTTTATGAACTGGGAATCTTACATTGATTGATTTAACAAGCAGAATGTGTCAACAATTAAAGGCTGGCGTGAAAGTAAACATCTACACAAACACAGATACAAAAAAAAGTAAACATGCACGCTAATAAACAGACAGACATAAACAAACAATAACACGAACACGCTCATGTACATGTACACAGACCATGATCTTCTGCGGGAAATATTTGTAGACAAGCTTTTATTGACATATTTTCTAATACCACTTATGTTTATCATCTGAGGTTGTTGAGAAAAAACAATAAAATGTGTCATCATTACATTGTTTGACCCAAGACGCCAACAAAATACTGAGGTCAAGGTCAAGGTCTGGATCTGAGAGGTCTGGGTCTGGGTCTGGGTCTAGGTCTAGGTCTAGGTCTGTCTCATTTTCTCTCTCTCTCTCTCTCTCTCTCTCTCTCTCTCTCTCTCTTTCGCTCTCTCTCTCGCTCGCTCTAAAGGTATATACATATTTCTATTTTTAACGGGTGGGATCAGATTGCCCCCTGACCCAGTTTTCGGGCGCCTTGCTAGTAAAATTAAAAAAAAACACAGTTACTTTACCTGATATAGTCCAAAGACAGCCACAATGGCGAGCAAAAGGAATTTTGTTCCAGTCTCTATTCTAGGCATGACACCTGTCAAAGGAAGCAGAACAAAAACACGCGTTACAAGTTTAGCAGTAGGGCGTTGCATGAGATTTTAAACTTCGTGTTAGTTTAAGGAGAAGAAGCATACGGCGTGACAGGGTGGGAGAATTTATTATTAACTTCAAAATTACCGAACACGATCCCCGGGCAGATGGGGGCTGTTGCCTGTGGGCAGCAAGGGATCTAGGGTGGGGAAAAACAACCCACAATCATAAAACTACTGCTGTATTGCAAATTATTTTCCGGTAGACTAAAATAGTAGGCCCTAAAAAAGTTTATATTAATCCAATCCATTTTTCCCACGTTTTCTTTAACTTGCTTTCGTCTCTGTCTTTCCAATCAAATCTTGCGATCGAAATTTCTGGCACTTCCCAGTTAGCTAGCGCGCTGAAATTTTCAAGGAAGCTTTGTTTTGGATGACAATAGAATATTCAATTGTTATTATTACTAAATTGATCCATGGAAACATTTTATTTGAGCATTTTAGACCGCTATATAATCTATATATATAATTCTCCTCTGCGAGCCGTTAGAAAACAATCTGCAAGCGCCTCCTTACAGTCCCCTCTCTTTCTCTCTATCACTATCACTACCACCCACATGGTCTGCTGAGCTGTGGTCACGTTAATGTTTACAAACCGTACAGCCAGGTTTAGTGACGGCTATTAGGGGCAGATAATTAAGTTTGAACCGACTTTAAACTTACAGGAGGTAACTAAGAGGAGGCTGCTTTCACGGGGGGGGGGGGGGGGATAGGGTCGGGGTTAGGGGAAAGGAGGGGGGTTAGTGTTTTAAAGCAAATATTTTCAGTGGCATCATTAGTACTGTCGAATTCACAAATTATGAATTGCTGAAAGTAGAAAATAAATCAACTAAATAGCGGCGTATGATACGCCGCGGGTCGGCTCGTTGTAGTAAAAACGTGGGGAAAAAGGGACATAACCCAGTAACTGTAATTTGTGTACAAACAACCGTAACAACTGGTGGCCAGTATGGGGGAGACGATATGGTCGAGTGGTTGGGCACACGATTGCTATCCTACTCGACACGGGTTCAAATCTATGTGTTCTAGTCAGTAACGTATTCACACAACGTGTTTTTTACGAGTTGTCTTTTTACGAGTTGTCTTTTTACGAGTTGTCTTCGTTTACCCAAAAAAAAGTGAAAAGATAAAATCGATAGCAAGATTTTAATGCAAACAAACAGACAAAGACTAAAAAGTAGAAAATAATAATCATTAAAAAAGTTTTTAAAAACCCACGTTTTCTGATTGAACTAAAAAGTAGAAAATAAATGCTATACATCACAATAATGCAAGCGATCACTCTACTATAAGCGATCAAAAACGTGGGGCGCCGTGATTTTCTTACAGTTTCTAATACTGTTGACTCTCTACAAGCTCCCTAATAAAAGTCAATAGTATTATCTAATCAATAGTAATATAACTTTTACTTCGGCGCCCCACGTTTTTCATCAGAGTGATCGCTTGCATTATTGTGATGTATAGCATTTATTTTCTACTTTTTAGTTCAATCAGAAAACGTGGGTTTTTTAAAACTTTTTAATGATTATTATTTCAATGTAATGAAAATAAGAAAATAAAAGAGATTTGCTTTCTTTAATGAAAGCTTTCGTCGCTAAACTTTGTCAGAGATCTCATAACAACCACATAGGATGCGATTAAAACAATTCACGTTGTAACCCGATTAGTAGCTTAAGTCTCATGAAGATAATTATCTGCGCCTTCTTAGCCCAGGCAAAATCACTCAGCCGTGAAAATAACAATTCACAGTCGACGAACAGCTGATTGAGTGATGGCTAGTATTTAATCTTATCATCTCCCCTTTTATTAAATTTAGTAATTTTTTTTAAAATTTAATTTAAAACGGAGAATAATGTACCTTAAAAGTTTAAACAAAATCGTTATATTAGAAGTTGGTCAAAATTAAGTTGCAAAATTTAACACTAAACACCAAAATTAAACTTAAAAAAAGAGATTGCGAACAAAGTAAAAAATTATAAAAACACGATGGTAGTAAATAGAAAGAAAAGCAATCTGGAGCCTGCTTCAACAGACAATATGGCGCATAACACGTTGCCATGTACAACTGCATTGTTTCGGAGATAACCGCTTTAATATTAAAAGTACGAACCAAGATGAAGTTTAAGATGACTTAAACTATAATAACTACATTTATTTACCTTTAAATTTATACCGAGTGAATCAGAAGTCCAGAAAACGCTATGCTAGAAATCCGTGTGTTAACAAACGGCCCCAATGATAAAACAATGTCTTCGTAATGTGTTAGTTGTTTGTCCCGTGTTGGTTGCTACGGTTCACGGAGTTTAACAATGTATGGTCCACAGCTGTTTGTCCCATTAAGACAGATGGCGGATTGACGCGGAAGAATATTCTTTTTAAATTAAAGTTTTGCTATTGGTGGATATTAGTTTGTTTGGGAAAAAAGTTAAATCATCTTTGAAATCAGCAATGCTTTAGTGGAACATTCAAGATTTGTTTATAATATTTAACGTGTAATTCGAAACGTATTGCTCCTGTATAACCAGCGTGTTGTATATAGAAAATACAAATAGTAGTCATTTAAAGAAAACCACGGACGAGACGATGAAATTTAAAAAATTCAAACCCTGAGCTATTCATATTTAAAATTCCCCGAGGATTAAAATGAAACTGTTACAATGATCGTTGACTAAATTGAATCAGGTGCGTCATAGCAAGGAGCGAGTAGTCGCCCATGGCTCCCCATGGGCACTATTCTGCCTAATTTCATTTTAAAGAATGCAATACACTAAGGATACGATTAAAGGATACGGTTAATCCCAACCAGATGCGCCTACCGGTGCTCTGGGGGTCGGGTGACCCGGAGCACCCAGGGATACATACGTTCCAAAGAGCACCTTACAATATGGACACGGTGGGCCACTACATTATGGACACGGTGGGCCACTACATTATGGACACGGTGGGCCACTACAATATGGACACGGTGGGCCACTACAATATGGACACGGCGGGCCACTACATTATGGACACGGTGGGCCATTACATTATGGACACGGTGGGCCACTACATTCGATGACTAAACCGAACCAAGGGGCGCACCCAGTGCCCCTTCGGTAAATAACCGGTGGCGGATGAGATCGCCCAGCGACGCCCCTGATACGTTTGTTCTACCTCACTATTACGGAAGGTGATTAACGTACACTGAAGGCGTTTAAACACCACGTTCAAATATTGCGTCAGCCTGCGGGAACGCGTGGGACGGGTACGCTATTATTAATATCAAAGAAAAGGTTCCAGTATATACGTAATCTCTTTTAAAATGTAATTCGCAAAGCTAGGGTTGATTTTCAAACAAATAAAGAAGATTCAATAACACTATAAAGATAAGGAGAAACCTACCAAATGGATTTAATCACACGACAAAAACGGAGAACCCGTCCAGATTGTCTACAGAAAGCAGAAACAAGTTAACCATATCTAACCCACAAACACCACTACTACAAGTTTTTTAATGACATTAAACAGCAGACAAAAATGGCGCCACGGTATGCTGTATTGAAGGCCGTATCGAACAATACCAAAGTCGATGATTGATTTTATTTTTACAACATTTGAAAACAAATGAACTAGGTCATAGTACATTAATACTTTATTGTGTTTTTTAAACGCTGCTTGTTTTAGTAAAGGACCGTGCGTGTATTATAATACACAAACATGTTTTAACTCATTTTACGCAATGTAACGTTTAAATACGGCCCTAAGATATAACATAACATTTCTATAACCATCCTCTCCTGTCTCCCACACATACAGACAATATATTATACATTGGTGATTTATAAAAATATGATATGTGAATTACTTCATGGAGAGAACTCCGGTCACAGTTTTAATATTAACAAATGTGGAGCTCTACAATGAACGAGATTCAAGAAAAGGTTTTGGTTAAGTTAAGGGATTTATTCAACCAGCATACATAGAAAAATTAACGAAAAGACATTTATCGCACGGTACTATTCAAAGCAACCATGTTCCTTAAACACTATATAACACATACATGACATCACATATATCACCCCTTATCCCATCCAATCCTTCTTTTTGTTATGTCTAACATCGACAAGTTTGCAAACTATGTGTCATACTGTTATGACTATTTTATATAATAGTAAAATTAAAAACATGTAAAGTACTGAAAAAAAATTCATAAAAAACGTTTTAATAACAAGCTTTTATGTAATGATGCACTAAAAAGTAGAAAATAAATTATAGACTACTATTTAAATAACTATAAAGAAAAGCGTGGGTCACTTTAGTATCTATTGGATACCTTTACTAATGTTAAGGAAGACACCCACGCTTTTCTTTATAGTTATTTAAATAGTAGTCTATAATTTATTTTCTACTTTTTAGTGCATCATTACATAAAAGCTTGTTATTAAAACGTTTTTTATGAATTTTTTTTTTAGTACTTTACATGTTTTATTTACAATAGAGTTACATGACTAAAAACCATTGCGCGCCTACTGAACATCACGTTCAGTAGGCGCGCAATGGTTTTTGAACGCAGCCATTACGTGATGGCGCAGCTATTGAAGGTGATGACGCGTGTGGTGTGGTTGGCTAGACATGCCTACTAATTCGGTCCAAATTTTAATTAATTCATAAAAAATTAATTAGGCATCCAATTAAGTCAAATTTAGTTTCAGATTGCATTGTCTTCATGTCTTGACCCACGTGCTAACTTTGAATCGTATCGGTCAAGTAGAACTGTCCGAATTTTCACTCCTGCGTTTCCGTCTAGACAGACAGACAGACTGTCGAGGAAGTGAGTTAAATAAAAGCTTGTAAAAATGGGAGCGTCGTGGTCGGATGATAGAGTGTATTACTGCTAACTCGATAGTTTCTTGTTCAGATTCAAAGAAATTCGACAATAAATTTAAAAAATTGTAAATGACACAAATCTAAAAAATTACAATATGACGTTAACTTTTATGCAATTATAACTTAAAAGATTTTTAATTGAAAAAACAATTTTAAAAAAGTACAGTAAAACAACAAACCGAATAACGTTCACGCACATCCAACTAAAAATGTAAAATATTTTAATTGAAAAACAAATCCTCTAAAGTTATCTCAACTACCGGGCATAATAAGACCGGCAAGAATGGAACAACGCTTCCTATCTTGTATCAGCGATCGACGTGACATAAAGACTGATTAACATACCCTTTTTATTCACCCCGGGCATGAAATAACACGTTTACAGAACAATGTAGAACTTTGTGGCATTGACGTCCTGATCGATCAACGTGTGGGTAGGCAAGACCTGGGTAACAACGATATGATTGGGGCAGGGGTACCTGCAGGCTACCATACCTGCAGCATAGTATAACTATAGCCTGTGGATACCTGTAGACTACCATACCTGCAGCATAGCATACCTGTAGTGTGTGGGTACCTGCAGACTGCCATACCTGCAGCATAGTATACCTGTAGCCTGTGGATACCTGCAGGCTACTATACCTGCAGCATAGTATACCTGTGGATACCTGCAGACTACCATACCTGCAGCATAGTATACATGTAGCCTGTGGATACCTGCAGATTACCATACCTGCAGCATAGTATACCTGTAGCCTGTGGATACCTGCACGGCTACCATACCTGCAGCATAGTATACGTGTAGCCTGTGGTAACCTGTAGACTACCTGCAGCATAGTATACGTGTAGCCTGTGGATACCTGCAGACTGCCATACCTGCAGCATAGTATACCTGTAACATGTGGATACCTGCAGGCTACCATACCTGCAGCATAGTATACCTGTAACATGTGGATACCTGCAGGCTACCATACCTGCAGCATAGTATACCTGTAACATGTGGATACCTGCAGGCTACCATACCTGCAGCATAGTATACCTGTGAACTTAATGTGAACTTAATGCTAGTCAGACGATGTACGAGTGGGCTGCTGTGGTGTTTTTATATGGGCTTCTTGGGTGTTTTTATGGCTTCTGTGTGAATTTTATATGGGCTTTAGTGTGAATTTTATACGGGCTTTAATGTGGATTTTATATGGGCTTGTGTGTGATTTTTATTTAGGTTTCTGTGTGGTTTTATACAATTATGCTTCTGACTGGGTTTTCTATGGGCTTCTGTGTATATTTATAGTGCTTTTAAGTGGTTTTTATATGGGCTCATATTTTATATGATGTCTTCTAATTATTTAACCAACAAACTTTTTAAAATCACACCAACTCAAAGGTCTATATCATATAACATTACTCTATACAGTGTCTAAAACACAATATAACACAATAAACCACCCCACCTCTAAGCTTCCCATTCTCTAGATATCTAATATCCCACATCCCCACAGTATTCGCCATACTTTAATTATTATTTTACACGATCTAAATGTCCCACTTTGTAGACAATCCTAAATGTTACGGATCTTATCGGGCTTCTCAACAATAACATAGTATCACGAAGACGATTTTTTAAAAGTAATAAAAAATAAAAGTTTAGTACTAAATCTACCCTAAAAAAATATAAAAAAAAAACATACAAAAGCACGTTCAGAAAAATTCAACTATACATTTCAACATTTTGTTTTACTGAAAATAAGAATCCTTCAAAGATTTCCCAAATGCCGAGATACCAAAGTGCCAGTGACTTTGGTTCGCCGGGTCTGATACACAAATACTATTGGACATAATGACATAGGGATTTGTAACATGCTGTCATTCGCAGCAATAGAGCAATTACAAATCGTGTAAATTATTAGTGCATTTTGTCATTACATTTAAATATGAGTGCAATTGGTCATTACATCTAAATATTAGTGCATTTTGTCATTACATCTAAATATGAGTGCAATTTGTCATTACATCTAAATATTAGTGCATTTTGTCATTACATCTAAATATGATTGCATTATGTCATTACATCTAAAGGAACTGTTAAAACATGTGAGGAATTTTTAACACGTCTGGGGTGGAGAGGGAATGGGTGGGGGGGGTATGAACGCACACAGTGTAATACGCCCTAGGTATTATAAAACAACAAGCTAAGAGGAGAGAAAATATTGCGTTTATGTGGAGGTGTAAAACAGCTTGGTTTGTGTCGTTCTACAGCACATTACACGACGGGTGGGGGGGGGGAGGGCTTTATAGTTGAACAGACTAATTGGGGCGATCAAACATAACTTGGTTAATAATGAAGGGAGGATTTTGTTTAGGATGGTGCTACTTGAACTCTACGTGTAGAATAGGATCCCCGCAACATGTATTGAATGCAACTTACACTAATTGTAACACACCATACATGTAACCTTTTATACATGTAACCTGCTATACATGCAACCTTTTATACATGTAACCTTTTATACATGTGACCTGCTAGACTTGTAACCTTTTATACATGTAACCTGCTATACATGTAACCTTTTATACATGTAACCTGCTAGACTTGTAACCTTTTATACAATGTAACCTGTTATACTTGTAAGCTGTTTGAAAATAAATATACTATTTTCCTCTTATCATTATTCAAATATCAAATGCAATTAATTTAGTACTTACATTAACAGCGAAATTTTTAAAATGTTTTAGATTAAGTTTAGTCTTCAGATTGTATACGCTTTTAATGTGTGTTTTACTATTAAAATAAAGACTTGAGAAAAAGGATTATTTTTAGTTAAATGAGTATGAAAACATCTTATTTATATTATCTGTACGCAAATGATCACGTTTTATGTCACAGTTCGATGTCATCGAGTCTTGATCTACGTTAAAGTTTGAAACGAATCGATCCAATTGAGTAATCTTTTTTAGAAAAAGGAAAAAAATACTACTTTCGGAAAACGGAAATCGCTTATAATCTGAGAGATTCACGAGAGTAAGATTTTATAACTATGTCTAAAATTTCAATCACCTAACTTGTATTTTAGAAACTGGAAATGGTAAATTACCACATCTGAATATTGAAGGTCAACTAAAATGTTACAGTAATCTACGTTTAAGATCTTATACTGAGATTACTCTAAAAGTTCGCATAGCTAACTGAAATAATGCTCACATTATCGTCTTACCACGCAAATAGACTAAAGTGCTATTTCTGCTTCGCGGAAATCATTCAAAAGATGAAAAAAGGAGCATACAATATAATACTTAAATTTAAATTTCGCCCATTTAAGTTAAAAGGTTCTCAAGTTATAGGCTTTAAGGAAACGAAAAAAAAGTAAGAGCCACTTCCTATTTCGGGAAACTCCCAAAAGTTGATTGGAATCTAGTTTTGAAAGCTAAACTTTTATATAAACAGTACTAAAGTTTTCGTATTTACATATACACAGACAATCTGAAAGGATTGAAACATTAAATTTGTTCAGTCCTGGATGATTATGAAACGTCAAACTTTTGAATTTTGCACGACTATAATGCATCCTCTGTATTCCGCATACAATAAAGTGGGAAGATGTAAAACGGCGAAACTATCAAAATCCCCTTTAATTATTGTGCAAGATTATAACACTTTTTCCACTTGAAAGTAAAAATGTATTGAACGGTTTTACAAAAAATGAACGAATTAGTGATTTCGAAAATCTGGGAGGACTGCTGAAAGCGAAGCAAAGACTGCGGTGTTTACATGGACCTCTGGAGAGCCGCCTAAAATCGAGTGCTGTGGAGTATCGTAGCTGCAGTCATTTAGTAAACATCAATCAAACTGGCAATTCGTAACTCTCATTGCACTTCTAATACTACCAGTGGCATCATCGTTGCCCGTTCGTCCCCCCAAAAAAACATGGGCCAGATGAAGTAGAGTTCCACCATTTCAGCGATCTCGACAAATGGAGGAATTGTGTGGTCAGCACTATGATCGGATGCCTTGACTTCCCTAACGTACGCCAGGTACCCACCACTGCTGGGTAGACCCAGGAACGTCGTACAGACTCGAACCTGTGATTCGAACTCGATATTTTTTTAATTAATATTCACAAGCTCTACCATCCAACCACGCCGTCCCATTTTTACAAATATATTGATATGTTACAATTTATCCTTATATCTAAAAATTTTAATAAAAGATAAATCTGCTAACATGTAACATTTAATTAAAGCAGAGAATTGAAATGTACATTGAAATATTTTTAACAGCAATCAAATTTTAATAAAGAAATAATCGCCATGAAACTTGACTTCAATGTTCTCCCGTATGAGATGCCCCGCCCTCAACACGTGTGTCGTGTAGCCAAACTTGTCAGCGAACTCTTCAATTTCTGTGGCCGCTTGCTCCGTCTTCCCGCTCCACTCCATCTGTATGACTTTCACGTCAAGGGAAGAAAAAAATTCCTTCCCACAAGCCAGTGCGTGGTGCTCCGATGTTTCGATGTCCATCTTGACGTAGACAGACTTAGACTTGACCAGAGGAATCAGGTCGTCCATGCAAATTGACTGGACAACGTCGCCATCAACGGGATTTTCCACAACAGCTGTCCCTCCTATATTTCCTCTGCAACGAAACAAAATGGCATCTATTTTGTGAATGGTATTCAGTGTACTGTATGGGTATGAGATTATGTGTGTTGTGGAATGATTTATATTAATCAAACATTGTGAATGTGTGACGAGGAATGTAAGGATAAGACTTTTGAGAATAGGATCTTTGTTGTTGGGGAAAAGAGTTTAAATGAGGCTTCGTCATGCTGTGTTAGTGGGTAGACCTATTCGTTTGTCGTCGTGAATATAGTCTTTGTATACTTCGAGAATGTCGTCGTCCGTGTGTATTTAGCCAGTGAAATAAATGATTGAATGAACCAATGCGGTCCTGTTCAGTGATTTTTATTAGATCCTCATTGTCTGTGGATCCACGTGGTCCTACAAGGTCGACCCCGATCCCAAACTCGCGTCCCAACATACTGCTTGGTCAACACTAATGCTTTTGTGTGTATGCGTGTGTGTGACGTGTTTATTATATAGAAAGTAAGTAGGCTATAAAACATATAACTTCAGCTGACCAACGCTAAACTTTAGGGTTTTTTTGTTTGGTCGTCACCAGAGGCGTAGCGACCCTTCCTGGCGCCCGGGGACAAACTTTTCGATTTGCACCCCCCTCAAAATTTTGGTTTGCACCCCCCCCCCCTCAATTTTTTTCGATTTGCACACCCCCCCCCCCCCCTCAAGATTTCGATTTTTGCACCCCCCCCCCCCTCAAACTATCGATTTCCACCCCCCCTCAACCTTTCAATTTATTTTTCCAACCCATTTTGGCGCCCCCTAAGGTCGGCGCCCGGGGACATATGTCCCCCCTGCCCACCCCTCGCTACGCTACTGGTCGTCACCTCAACCAGACGTCACCGGTCAGTTCCATTAAAGACGTGAGCCCTTAACGACTGACAACTTATCACCAACCTGACTCAGAACTTTGTAATTGTTATCAAATATTCCACCACTTAAAGAAAAACAACTCACACAACGATACACTTATTCTAGTTAGTAGGTTCTAAAAACATAAATTTAAAAGATTAACTATAAAGTAACAAAAAAAATCAAGAAATCACTGTTGAATATCAAATAGACAGGGGAGCTAACTAGGGCAGACACGCCAAGTAGTAGTATTATAGTTGTGTCCCTTTAGTGTTGTTGATTGTTGTGAACTGAGCACTAGTCACCTGTGAGTTGAAATCTTCAGTTGTGATTCAGAAACTGCATAGGTAAAACACACAACTCCTGTTACTCTATCATCATGCATCAACTACACAAACATTCAACTCACGAGTAAGTTTTAAAGCCGAGCTTCAAGCTCCGGTCCCTGTAGATGGCGTTCTTGACGACGGTAACCAGGTGCGACAAGTTGCTGAGCTTGAGCGAGTGCTGGAGCAGCTGGATGTTGCTGTCCAGGATGTCCACGGCCACCACGTGCCTGCCCAGGGACGCGGCCATCAGTGTGTACTCACCCACGTTGGCGCCGAGGTCCACAAGCTGCATGTTCGGGTGCTCCTGAGGAGTAAGTTCAACGGGGCTGGGTCTTATGTCAAGAGTTGTATACAGTAAAAATACATATTATTATGTTATGGCATACAATGAAGGTATTATATATGTGTGTGTGTGTGTGTGTTATACCTTTAAGACGCTCAGCATGTACATCGTTAAATCATCCTCCCACAAATTGTTACCCTGAAATATTAAAAACCAAAATTAATAATAATCATTAAAAAAGTTTTTAAAAACGCACGTTTTCTGATTGAACTAAAAAGTAGAAAATAAATGTTATACATCACAATAATGCAAGCGATCACTCTACTATAAGCGATCAAAAACGTGGGGCGCCGTGATTTTCTTACAGTTTCTAATACTATTGACATTTATTAGGGAGCTTGTAGAGAGTCAACAGTATTAGAAACTGTAAGAAAATCACGGCGCCCCACGTTTTTGATCGCTTATAGTAGAGTGATCGCTTGCATTATTGTGATGTATAACATTTATTTTCTACTTTTTAGTTCAATCAGAAAACGTGGGTTTTTTAAAACTTTTTTAATTATTATTATTTTCTACTTTTTAGTCTTTGTCTGTTTGTTTGCATTAAAATCTCGTAAAAGTTATATAGCATTAAAGTCTCGTAAAAAGAGAAATCGTAAAAAAACACGTTGTGTGAATACGTTACTGACTAGAACACATCGATTTGAACCCGCGCCGAGTGGGATAGCAATCGTGTGCCCAACCACTCGACCATATCGTCTTCCCCATACTGGCCACCAGTTGTTACGTTCTGGTTGTTTGTACACAAACACTGCGTGAACACTAGTCAGTAAGCAAAAAGAGGGAGAGTCCCGAACCTTGTTTTCATCAAATTACAGTTACTGGGTTATGTCCTTTTTCCCCCACGTTTTTGTACACTTATATAGCGGCCTAAAATGATCAATAAAATGTTTCCATGGATCAATTTAGTAATAATAACAATTGAATATTCTATGGTCATCGGAAACAAAGCTTCCCTGAAAATTTCAGCACGCTAGCTAACCGGGAAGTGCCCGAAATTTCGATCGCAAGATTTGATTGGAGAACCAAACAGACGCGAAAGCAAGTTAAAGAAAACGTGGGAAAATACATGCATATAGTAATTTATATTTAGGAATTTTATTATCCGCCATGTACATTGTATACAGTTGTTACTTGGACTGGTGTCTCCCGGTGTGGTAACTGGGTGGGGGGGGGGTGGTGTCAGCCCTAACCCTCAGCATTTTTTTTTATAGAGGGAGGTATGATGATTTTTTTAAAATGACACACGTGGTATTTGTCGCATTCGGAATTTTTGTCCCATTGAGCCAAGCCTTATTCGGGCAAGCGAAATTAGGGCAAATAGACATCTATTTTTATCGTATGTTTCTAAATTAAATTTTAAATTTGTATATTATGCCACGTCACTTGAGTTCATTCGTTTGTCAACAAGCTTCCTCATTCAACAGCACTTCCCCCCCTTCCCTAAATTCTACATCCACATAAATGTAGACGTGTTCCCAAACCTTTCGCCCCATTAACTAATTCAATAACATTATCCACATATGATCAATGGAAGAGCTAAGTAATACCATCCGATGTCGAACGTTTTGTCAATTTATTTTACAACATTAACAACATCTTTGAAATGATATAAAGTCTCCATCGACGCTGATAACAATGGTATAATTTATTTTCGTTTGAAAATAATACAATGGTCTGATTATATTTTTAATAAGTGTCATTCATATTCATTGTTTATAATTTTGGTGCGAGGTTTGGAGTCATCAATAAGCGAAGTATATTGATCAGTTTTAATACAGTTTTGTGGAGTTATTTTTTTTAACACGGTATATCAGTTTAAATTCAGTTCCAGATATTGCTTTTTTAAATGCAAAAGTTTCTCATGATTTCCATAATTTGAGACCCACTCACCTGGATAGCACCGGATATCCACACGTCCTCTTTAGCGTCGTGAGTGCAGATAGTGACCCCAGGTGGAGCTTTGGCTAAATGGACGCAGTTTTGTGGCCTTGGGAGGGATTCATTGGGAAAGGACGGCACCACGTTTACGATAGGCTTAACCTTGACCTCTTGAACTTTGACCTCTTGAACTTTACCCTCTTGCACACTAAGTCGTCTCAACAGCGTCTGCACTGTTTCGTTAAAACTCTGAACTTGAGCTCTGAGGAGCTTAATCTGGGTCAAGGTCTCGGTGTTTTCCTCGGCGTGTTGGGCATAGGTCTTCTCGAGCATATCAGGGTTTTCATCCAGGTCTAGAGGACCTGATGTGGCAAGGAAACTTCGGTATGGGTGTATATTTCCTACAGAGACGTAAACCTGAGGTAAAAAAAAAACGTTTTTTTTTTTTACAAATGCCACTTCAATATACATTGTTATATTGATGTTATACTGAGAGTTGAACAGAAGGTTTGTGATATCTTGTACATTGTGAAAAAACATATGTATGAAAAGATTCTACTAAGTCAATGCCAGATATGTGGGGAGGTGGAGGGGGAGAATCACAAAATTAGCTAGAATTCTATCAGCCAACATTTTGTTAGTAAAGTAATTAACAGGTAAAAATAAACATTTTAAAAAATATATTTAAAATTTAAAATGTGTTGAATATTTATCTTAAACGTAATTGTTAAGATTATTCAGAGAAAGTCTTTATTTTATTTTTAAATATAAAAAAGGAGAATATATATTTTAGCAATCTTATAGCTGTGTTTGCGTGTACATTAGTGCGTGTGTTTGTGTGTGTGTGTGTATTAGTGCGTTTGTCCGTGCGTGTGTTTGTGTGCGTATGTCCGTGCGTGTGATTGTATGTGTGTATGCGTGAGTAAGTCCGTACGTGTGTTTGTGTGTGTGTATTCGTGCGTAAGTCCGTGCGTGTGTTCGTGAGTGTGTTTGTGAGTGTGTATGAGTGTTTTATTTTTTCATGTGTTTGGTAGTTTTGCGCCCAGTGTGCGGGCGCCCCTGCTCATCAAAACAAAACAAAAAGTAGTTTTAACCTACCTGATAGAATCCAAAGACAATCACCAGCAGGAACACGTGGAATATTATTCCAGTCGCGACTGTGGAAACGATTCATGTGAAATAAAAAAGACAACTTTAGTAGCTTTATTGTTTACATATTAACGGACAGTAATAGCAATATTAAGGTTTAGGAAATTTTACTTTACACGTGAGGGTAAATACAAAAGGGGACAGGACAATTAATCTCAGGATAAACTTAAATGATCTCAAGACACATTATCTCACGGACAAATGATTGAGAATCAATAGATGAGCGTACGATTTTGATCTAGTTTTGTTGTCCACCCAATGTTGTAGCAGTGTTTCGTGATCGACATGCCCACCGACGCCGTCTATCAAATATTTGTTTTAATCTTTGCCCATTACATTACTACTTTTACATTTTTTAAAATGTTTTAATTTAATTTCACAAACATAAGCGACGAACCTTTTTATACAATAATTACTTTTTAAAAAAAAGTAAATAAAACCATATTGCAGTCAATTTAAAAAATTCTCAAACCGGAACATTCTAAATTTATGCATATATGACCGTGAGATATTTTGTCTGGTATATTTTGTCTGAGAACATTTGTCTTTAGATTTTTTTGTAATAGAACCACATAAAACGAATACAGTTAAATAGTTACACACACACATATATATATATATATATATATATATATATATATATATATATATATATATATATATATATATATATATATATATATATATATATATATGATAACACATGCGGGTAATTTAAATTTAAAATAGCCATGTGAAGATAAATAATTTAGAAGCTTAACATGTAGGTAGTTGTGATAGATACTATTTTGGATAAGAACATATTGTTGTGTAGATGAGCAGTAAGACATTTCTTGTGTGGTCTGGCAGTATAAACACACACACACACACACACATATATATATATATATATATATATATATATATATATATATATATATATATATATATATATATATATATATATATATATATATATATATATATATATATGGGAAAGATACTCCAAACTTATTAGAATATTAGAGTGGAGGTTGATTATGTTGAGAGACATTACCTATGTTTTTCCGCATTTCGAGCTTGCCTGATGTAGAAGAAATGCTGGAACTTGTTGAATTAATGCATCGAAACTTGGGCTGTCTATGACAAAATGAAACATACCTTTTCACATAAACAAATAAAAGTGTATATTTAAAGTGTATATTAATATATATATATGTATATCAGTAGCGTACACAGGGGGGAGCAGGGGGAGCGGCCGCTCCCCCTCTCGCCATTTTCAGCAAAGTGGCTCCTTTTTGGAAACTTTTTAAACTCAAAGATTTAAACAACGATATTTGTTAAAACAATATTTTTGGTCGGCACATCTATGTTAATCACAAGTTTTCTTTTCATGCAGCAATTAAGCATTATTGTACTAGTCTAGTAGTGTCTACGTTTACAACACCCGACCTCGCTACGCCACTGTATATATGTATGTTTAGGAAAGTCATCTAAAAACTGACGCTTTATTCACTCTGAGTTGGTTATCTCCCCCCCCCCACACACACTTCACCACCACAATTGTGTAGAGCAACATTAATGTCACACCTAGGTATACACTGAGTTGGATAATTGACCTAAAGTGACCGGACAGTGGTGAATGAAGTTGAACCCACCCCCCCCCCTACCCACCCCGAACTGATCTGTTAAGTACATGTAGAAAAACGCGTAATGATGTACCAAAGTACCATGCCGCCAGAAAATTAGCTTTTTAAACGTAAAACTCTGTGAATATTGTTTTTGCAATTACCAGTAAAAAGGTGTGTGATCAATACAGTGATCTAACCCATACCTATCACTATGTTAAAAAATGATCTTTAAAGAACACAAAGAAGCAGTAGTTAATTAAAAATATATGATCTGAACTAAAAGACCGAAATATAGTTAAATGTAGACTGTTATTCCGAATGTTTTTCTATGATAACGAAAAGCGTGGTTTTATACAATCTCTGATTTAAAAAAACTTTCATTATGCTGTAATACTTTAGCATTTATGGTGACGATATATTAAATTTTGATTATAGACAAAAAAAAATTGTAAACACGAATAGTGTTAAACATTTTAATTATATTCTAAAGTAACTATTTATTTGTTTTGAAATTTATAATTAAATGTGTAGATATATACATATTTATACTAAGAGAGTGATTATTTCCCCTATTTCACTTGTCTTGAATAATTTCCCAGGAATTATTTTGTAAGAAAATTTTTACAAGAATTACAAAATAGATTGTGTTACGTTCATTGTTTTTGGTTGTAGTGTGTGTATATTTTTTTGTTCATATTGATACAATTTTTGTTTTGTCGGCCTACATTGTGTGTTTTTTCTTATTTCTTAAGAGTGCTACTTTCAGTTTATTTTACATCATAGCGAAGTAATAACATACAGCTAGTAATATATATATATATATATATATATATATATATATATATATATATATATATATATATATATATATATATATATATATATATATATATAATACACGTATATAGAACGTGTTAAAATTTTTTTTGCTCTTTTCGCTCCCCCTACAACGAAAACCTGGATACGCCTCTGATGTATATATATATATATATATTATATATTATAATAATAATATAATGAACCCCACAACATTAGGGTCGATGTTAATATGTAGTAATAGTTATGTCAGTTATTTAGTAAGAGCTAGGGTCAGGGTAAAGGTCAGGCTTTTGTTTCATTGCTAAAGTTTGAACAAGCGTTAGCACTAGTGCTATTTTTGTTATGCTTAGTTAGAGCAACTTAGCACTGACCTTTCTCGGATGACTAACAGCTCTAATATTCTTAAAATCATAATATGAATTTTAAACTAAAATAAAAAAAGTTGTGTCTTTCCCATCTGCTCTGAATTATGGCTTCTTTTCTTGTAGTCTAAATAATCTAGATCTATATCTAGGTCTATACACTACTATATAGTGAGTGTTACGTGTATAATACACGATACAGTTACTTAGAATAAAGTAGAATCGAAATCTACAGAATACTTACATAAAACTAGATTTATCGCGTTTACTTTGCTTAATATTAATCAAGCTAATTAAGCCTAATTTGCCATATTTCTCCTATATTAACGGTTATTGTCTATTTTGTATTTACTTATACGAACAAACTTACGGTGTTTCCTGTTCATATTTTTTGCCTTCCAAATTTTTAAGCTTTCGCCTTTATTGCGGATTTTGTTGAAGTGCAAAATGGTACGGGAATTCCCTAAATATTACTTCAAATTTATTTCAAGAATACACATAGTGGCATGCAGTGGCGTGCCTTGATAGGTGTAATCTGGTTGTGATCTTAACTGTCATTCCCCCCCCCCTCCCCCTCCCCCCAAAAGAATATGTATTTTTAAAAAAATATTTTATTGATTTATATATTTTAATATATCATATACATAGTTGTATATATAAGCATAAATAACATGTGTAGGCCTTATACCATTTTTTTATTTTGAATATACAACTTTTGAGGCTACCTGTGGCAGAATCAGAAAAACACGGAGCTTCGATATGTGTAATGGTTTCCCATGTTTGTTTTATTCTTTTGTTTTCTTGCATTTGTATAGTTTTGAATACATCCCATTATATAGCTGTGTCATTATTTAGTATGCTTTATTTTACTAATAATTAAGAGAAGAAATTGCTTTTTTAATTTGCTTAGTATTAAACTATTTATATGAGCTTTATCACCCCCCCCCCCCCATTAGACTATTTAAAGAGTAGTAATAATAATAATAATATTACCTATGCAATAGTGTGTGTTAGTTACTGTAGAACAATCACTTCGTTATAGATTTTTTTTTTTTCTAAAAACCACTTGTTTATCAAGGTGCAAAAAAAATGATTTTGTTGTTTTTGGTCGGATTTTCGTCCCCTATACGACCCCCCGCACCATTTTCCACTAAAACGAAATCATACGTGCTGAAGTCTAATGCTTAAAAACTTTAACCTCATCAAACAACATAAAGAAACAGTGTAAACACTCATAAACAATTATTTTACACAAAAAAATACCAGGTTAGCCTGACACATTATTAACCAAGCAATTGCCGATAGATCTGTTTTTATGTAGGTAAGTATTTATCATACCATATAAACATATTTAGAAAAAGAAAACGACTAGATCTAGATTTAGATACTATCATAGTCTAAGTATCTGTAAAGTAGCAGTTTAATATTCAGGGCAGATGAGAAAGTCAGAAGCGCGTTAAATAATTCTGGCAAACTATTTTAATATGGGTTTAAGAAAATTTGAAATGACAATGTGTTGCTTTTTTTTTTTTTTTTTTTGCTTTGAGATACAAGCAGTATGTCATTCAGATTATGCTAAGGAAATAATCCATTAATTTGTAATATCGATGTAGCTCTCTAGACTTATATATAGAAATGAAATGTGGCGCCGCAGATAGTTATTGAATGAAATCTGCTTCAGTAACTTATTAATGGTGCATTACTGATGTTAAGATAACTTACATTACACTTACTAATAAGCACATTATTTTTTTGAATCAGTGTCTTCACTATAAAATCGAGATTCGACAATAAACAGAAGTTTATTAGGCCTAATTAGTCATCTTCGTCATTTTATTTTGCTTTAAAGAGAAAAACGCTATTATTCACAAAGGAAGTGTGACCTACTTAGGTCTTCTTTTTTTAAGTGTTTGATTTTATGATTATTTATTTGGGCTTGAGTGGTCTGTTGTTCAAACTAAAGAAATTTTCTATCACGTTCATGTGATAGCATTCACAACTGTTCGGGTGGCTCGTGCTTTTGGTACTTCCTCCCAATGGTCCTTCACATTGAGGTCAATATCCCATAATTTCAGAGTGGTATATAAGGCCGGAATATTCCATCCACGAGGCAGCCCACTAGATATCCACAGGAGAGAGAGCTACGTACGACGCCATTTTAAGGTTTAAGGTTTAAGGTTTAAGGTTTAAGGTTTAAGGTTTAAGGTTTAAGGTTTAAGGTTTAAGGTTCAAGGTTTAAGGTTTAAGGTTTAAGGTTTAAGGTTTAAGGTTTAAGGTTTAAGGTTTAAGGTTTAAGGTTTAAGGTTTAAGGTTTAAGGTTTAAGGTTTAAGGTTTAAGGTTTAAGGTTTAAGGTTTAAGGTTTAAGGTTTAAGGTTTAAGGTTTAAGGTTTAAGGTTTAAGGTTTAAGGTTTAAGGTTTAAGGTTTAAGGTTTAAGGTTTAAGGTTTAAGGTTTAAGGTTTAAGGTTTAAGGTTTAAGGTTTAAGGTTTAAGGTTTAAGGTTTAAGGTTTAAGGTTTAAGGTTTAAGGTTTAAGGTTTAAGGTTTAAGGTTTAAGGTTTAAGGTTTAAGGTTTAAGGTTTAAGGTTTAAGGTTTAAGGTTTAAGGTTTAAGGTTTAAGGTTTAAGGTTTAAGGTTTAAGGTTTAAGGTTTAAGGTTTAAGGTTTAAGGTTTAAGGTTTAAGGTTTAAGGTTTAAGGTTTAAGGTTTAAGGTTTAAGGTTTAAGGTTTAAGGTTTAAGGTTTAAGGTTTAAGGTTTAAGGTTTAAGGTTTAAGGTTTAAGGTTTAAGGTTTAAGGTTTAAGGTTTAAGGTTTAAGGTTTAAGGTTTAAGGTTTAAGGTTTAAGGTTTAAGGTTTAAGGTTTAAGGTTTAAGGTTTAAGGTTTAAGGTTTAAGGTTTAAGGTTTAAGGTTTAAGGTTGTACATTTCTTTTTACACAAATATAATAAAATATTCAATTTTCGTTGAAAATTTACTTTTTGGCAACAACAATTTGGAACCATGTGGAATAAGCTTTTCAAGCCTATTGTAATCGTGACATGAAAGTCAATTGAGAATTTATAATATTGTTGAACATTTGCAGGTCTAAAAAAGAAACGTCTTCTGCCATTTTAAAACAATGTTTCACGTTTCATGAAGGGGAAAATACTTATTAAAAAGACGGCTGGTAAAGCATTAAAGGATGAATCAAGTTATCTCCTTTTCCATACTGCTGTTTTGTGTTATTAGTTTAACAGGTAGGTTTATTAATAATAATTTGTTTAAGATTTCACTTAAAAAATTAAATATTATAATAAATATTATTCACTGTACATGGAAATCTTTAGTAATCAACCATCGAAAGATATCTTTTTAAACTGCTGACAACTTGGCTGGGTTCAGTTTAAAGTTTATGTGACAGTAGAGACATTTTCTTACATTATGTTACGTTTATAGATTTAAAACGTAAAACAAACAAAACAAATAGATATAAAGCGCTTATAATTCGATAGTAATATTGTATTTCCAATTCCAGGTAAAGATCTTTTGTTTAAAATAAGAATAAGCGCATCAGTTATATTTAGTTAACAATGCAATTGTCAAAGATCACATAATCATAATCATAATCCTAGTCATAATTCTAGCATAAGTTTGCCCCAAGCTCTAACCTTGCAATAACCTTAACGCTGACATTAATCTCAGTCTTAACCTTTTTCTTGCCATAAATGCATAAGAAAATAAAAATAAAAATTGATTTTAATCACAGACATGTTCTAGGGTGATACACATTATAAATACCTAAAGCAAATTGAGTTCTAACCTAAGATAAAATATTTTCCTGTAAACTTGTACTTCCAAATAGGGTTTTCTAAAATGGTAATTGAATTTATTTTTTCAGATGCTGTTAACGGCAAACATGTATTCAATTTGACAATTGAAGGATATGAAAAAGATTGTGTAAACTATAGTTGCCGCTACACTGGCAAAGTGCTGGCAAGTTTTTCTTCTACACCTGAAATTACAAAATTTGGATTTCAAGATTGCATGGAAGTAACGATATATTCATGTCCTCAAGGCAAGGATTGTGGCGATAACTCTTGGGAACCGGTATGTTTGTATTAAATATATTTTTATTTGGCTGATTTTTTAAAAAATAAAAAATTAAAAATGAGTTACCTCCCATCTAGAGCTATCCTGTAACATTTGGCCGATGGGGCTTAGCCAAAATTGACTGCACTTCAAACATCAATAAATTAAAATAGGTTTCGTGAAACTAGATATAGATTAACATTGAGATACACTGAATCCACAGGCGATAATATTAATCATACTCTTACCTTAAATTTGAGGTATCCGGTCCTTAACTTTAAATAAATGTCAGAAAATATATAAAAATTAAACTAAAATAAAAACAACGTATTAGTTTCCTTTTTCATCCCACGTAATTTGCTTCAAATATTTTTTGATATATATATATCAACTATATTTGAAGATTTTACAATGAAAAGTTTAATAAGTTCATGCAACACTCATCGATATAGCAATTTCTGCGTGGTTTATTTTAAACTTACGTTTAAAAAGCAATAAACTAAGACGTTGGACGTAATAAATATTAATAGCTTTGACCCCTTTAACGATTTTCCCTGGAATGACTCTATTTTTCTTGCACCCATTAGCATTAGTCTACAACCTCGCAAATTATCATGGGTTGTTAACGTTACAAAAAAAATTTAATTTTATTTTATCTTATATAAGGAAGGTTTCACTCGTGGTCAGTTTTTAGCACCGGGCGAGCGCGTAGAGGATGACCTACAATCACATCATGGATAACAAATCAACTACTTAAGCACAATCAAACATACAGCTATTGGTGTCAGCCACCCTCCTCCACACACTTAAGCACACACACACACTTTCACACACACACACGTAGGCTGCTGTATAATAATTTGCTTGATCAATTTGTGAAAACATTATATTAATATACCTAGCAATAATCATTTAAAGGCCTAACTCAAACATTTAATAGTAGTAAAAAATTCAATGTATTTGTAGTAAATAAACAAATTTGATGTCACCCCACCCCAGATGTGGATTGAGGTGTCAGTTATTACAATTCTCAAGAAAACAATTGTCCTCTGCTAAATTTTGCAACGTTTAGTTGGTTTCACACAGAGCCCCACTGTGGTCAACCCATCTATGGTCAAACCCCCTTATGATAAATGCAACTGTGTTCAAAGCCCCGCTGTGGTCAAACCATCTATGGTCAAAGCCCCTATGATCAATGCAGCTGTTCAGCCCCCCCCCCCACTGTGGTCAACACATCTATGGTCAAAGCCCCTATGATCAAAGCCCCACTATGGTCAACCTATCAATGGTCAAACCCCTTATGAGCAATGCCCCCCCCCCCTATGATCAATGCAACTGTGTTCAAAGCATTGATCCCCCACCTTGGTCAACCCATCTATGGTCAAAGCCCCTATGATCAATGCAACTGCTGTTCAGCCCCCCCCCCCCCACTGTGGTCAACCCATCTATGGTCAAAGCCCCTATGATCAAAGCCCCACTATGGTCAACCTATCAATGGTCAAACCCCTTATGATCAATGCCCCCCCCCCCCTATGATCAATGCAACTGTGTTCAAAGCATTGATCCCCCACCTTGGTCAACCCATCTATGGTCAAAGCCCCTATGATCAATGTAACTGTGTTCAAATCCACACTGTGGTCAACCCATCTATGGTCAAAGCAACTGTGGTTAAACCTAAACCCTATCATTGTTAAATCTATCTTTATACTATTAAAACTCAATTTTTTTTTTACATGTTTGAATATTTATTTGTTTGTCTGATTTTCTACTAGAGAGAATCTTCCATATGTGTAGGGCTGTAAAATAGTTTGTAGGAAGAAGGAAGAGAATAATTTTTGTTTTCAGACAGACTGTAGATCACAAATTCATTTAAAGACGTTAATTAATTTATTGATGTATTCATTGGTAGATTAATTACATTAATTATAAAAGTTTCAAAGAATGGCTTTACTTTGACTGAATAGTGACGTCACATGATTTGTTTACTTTTTACATCAACAATGGCGGCTCCCATCGAAGATTGCGTTCCCATACCAATGTTTAACACGTTCTAAAGCTAATTTTCTGTTGGCTATAACTTTAACAATACGTCCGTTTGCTGTTTTTTTTTTACGTTTCAACACTATTTCAATGTTTTAACAGTTCTTTTTATTTTATTATACAATACTAATACATTTCTCTAGATCTACAGATCAGCTGTCGAAGGAAGAAAAAGTTATGAATTTAGAATCTAGATCTAGATCTAAGTCACTAGACGTAAATTCTAGATCTAGACTTAATGTAAATTCTACATCTAGAATCTATTTCAGGCCTTAATTATTTTATATAAATCTATGTTTAGCTTCAATAATCATCTAATTCGAGAATGCATGTAGGTTCTAGATCTAGATATAGTAGGATTACTCGCTAACTTGGAGGCGTAGTCGGTTGCTAACAACAATATAGCGTCCGGACCGAACGCATGACTTCCGACCATTTTAGGCCAAATTCCAGAGACTTTCTTAGAATTATTATTAAAAACGTTTACCACGAGCAAAATTGCGGGTTTTCACGTTATATACACATGCTATGGTGGCCAGGGCTAGATATGCCAGAAAAGCATTTTAAAATTTGCTAAATTTTAAAGTCGGTGTCATTAAAATTAATAGAACTTTTAAAAGGTCACCTGTGACGTCAGTATATGAAGGGATAGTGTGGTCAGAATCAAGCTCAGCCGAAATCGGTGTTTTTAAAAGATAAAAAACGTCTTTTTGAATGTGGGGTCTGGTTATTTTGTGATAATAAGTGACAGACATGATGTCATTTATGGATGCCCCCGAAACCCACAGTCATCCAAGGGATGACGGGTAAGTCTAGTATACTACTAAAACTCAAGTTAACATGTTTGATAATTCATTTTTTTTTGTCTGTATTGTTACAGGATAGAATTTGCAGTATGTGTAGAGCTGTAAAATAGTATTTCGGTAGAGAACAATGTTCTTTTCTAAACACACTGTTAATCACAAACTAATTTAAAGAATTTAATTAATTTATTGATATATTTATTGGTAGATTAACCTCATTAGTTATAAAAGTTCAGAACAATGACTTTACTTATAGTGAATAGTGACATGAGTTATTTACGTTTTACAACAATTTTTTTCAATTTTTGTTTTAGATGTGAATGATAAAGTTGCCTATCGGACTTTGGCGGGATACAGAGCAGGTGAAGTAGAGTTCACCTGTTTCTTTGTCCTCAGTATATGAAGGGATAGTGTGGTCAGAGACATGCTCGGCCGGAATCGTTATTTTAAACGATAAAAACATGTTGCCTGAGACTTAGTGGGACACTGGGCGGGTAAAGTACAGTTGAGTAGGTCACCTGTGACGTCAGCATATGAAGGAATAGTGTGGTCTGACCCATGCTCAGCCGAAATCGGTATTTTTAAAAGATAAAAAACGTCTTTTTGAATGTGGGGTCTGTTTATTTTTTGGTGATAAATGACAGACGTGATGTCATTTATGTATGACCCCCGAAACCCACAGTTATCTAGCTAGATAATGGGTAGTCTAGTTTATACTAACAATAAATCAAATGTATGATCACATACTCTTTTGAAACTAAATATAACAATAACCAAACAACAGCGTAAAACTAAAAAAACACCCTTAGTTTAAATGTAATAAAAATGCTTTAAACGAATAAACTAATACCATGTCTGAACTAACTTCAAACGACACATAATCTAATAGACCTTTAATTTAATTTTAATTGCTACATGAAACCAAACATAAGATTTTTTAAAATATCTAAGTGTAACTCTTAACTCAATAACAACGTATGTATTACTAATTGTGCCAGTTATTTTTTTTTCAGTATTGCTTCGTGTTCGACTATCCTTGTGAAGGTTACAAATGCAATAAAGTAAAGCATCCATGCTATTGTACTTATGGAAATCCTACAAAAATTAAGTTCTTCCCTGTGCATGAAAACAGATTGTACCAGATGAAGTTAAAGTTTTTGTTTGATACTTACAGGGACATACCCATGCTTATCGCTTCAGGCAACATCTTCGATTTCTCCAAGAAACCAGGCAAAGTTATTTCATAATATTGTTCTAAGTTAATTCAACAGCTGTTAGACATCGTCCATTAATGGTGAATTCTAGGGAGGTAGATGTATGAGGGCCGCCAGAAGTAATACTTATGTATGTATATATATATATATATATATATATATATATATATATATATATATATATATATATATATATGTTACGGGTCAGTTGTAGGTTAGACTAGAATAGGATAGAATGATCTAGAATTAGGGGAGAGTGAGTGTGTGAGTTGAGTTTACCCTAGAATATTGTTAACCCCGGTGTGTTTGTGTATTGTTATCCCAAGGTCGAATGCGGTATAAAAGCTGGAGTGAATGGTTGTCAGGGGTTAGTTAGTTGGCAGGGTTAGGTCGAGGGCTATGTTGTAATGTGATATGTGAGACCTAATAAACGTATCGAATGTTAACCCGAGTCGTTCGTGAATTCGAATCTAACCCGGACGTAACAACTGGTGGCCAGTATGGGGATCTGCCAATACCCTTTTGTGAGGTCGAGTTTAGTAAAATATTTTGCCCTATTTAATTTAGCGAACAGCTCATCTGTATCTGGGATGGGTTCCGCGTCGTAGGCTGTGACTGCGTTAAGTCTCTTATAGTCTACACAGAACCTTGTCGACCCATCTTTTTTCTTAACTAGTACTACAGGTGCGCTGAAGTCGGAGTCGGACCTCTCTATTATTCCCAGTCTCTCCATTTCGTCCATCTCTTTCTTCATAAGCTCTCTTCGAGCGTTTGGTATGCAGTAGGGTTTCGTTCTTATTGCTCTGGTGTTGGTCAGTTTTATTTTATGTTCTAGTAAACTTGTTTTTCCAGGTAAGTTGCTAATTACAGCTGTGTACTCTTGGATAATTTTGTCTAGATCCGTCCGCTGTGTTTTATGATCTTATATAATAACCCATCTATCGTTTTACATTGTTTGCCCTTTTCCGCGAGCTTCCACCACCTAGCTAATGTTTTGTCTTCGCTCTGTTGCGTTTTAAAATCTTTCGATATCGTTATTTGGTCTAAAATCTTATGCCCCGGCTCATTTCTCTGGTTGCCCCCTGCTCTAAGTTGTCCTCTGGTTTCTACCGCCGCTAATGTTAGCGAATCTTCCATCGGTATTTTCGTGCCTGCTACATTCCCTATTATAAGTTCAGCGGGTGGATCATCTAAAAGGACGGCAAAGAACTCTCCCGTAAGGTATGGTGTTTCTATGTTGACTACAGCTCCTGGTACTCTTTTCTTATCTCCATCCGCGGTCTTTATGGTTATCCATTCTTTTGTCCATCTATTTCTTGGGACTAGAGCTTTTCGACAAGCTACGACTACAGAGCCCGTATCCCGTAGGACGGTCACCGTCCTCCCATCCAGTTTTCCTGCAACTATAGGAAGTGACCCTCTGTCGCTTATGAATCTCCGATTAGCTCCAATGTTCCCTACAGGGACAGCGCCCTTTACTTGACTTAGGCATTGTCCACAGTCGCCGCACTCCCCGCTGAACTCTGGTACTAGTCATATGTCTTGAATGTTCCTGAAGCCTACCCTTCTCCCTCTGTACTCATGTCCAATTTGTCTACGATATTGTTCTAAGTTAATTCAACAGCTGTTAGACATCGTCCATTAATGGTGAATTCTAGGGAGGTAGATGTATGAGGGCCGCCAGAAGTAATACTTATGTATGTATATATATATATATATATATATATATATATATATATATATATATATATATATATATATATATATATATATATATATATATATATATATATATATTGACAACCATTCTTTTTGATTCGATAAGTTTGTGCTAATTCTTCGAAAATAGAAAGTAAGCAGCAAAGGTCCTGAAATATGTATATGAAGACTGTATAACACTGACTGTATTTAGCAATAATACAAAGCGAGAAAGAAAGTTTAAGTTTTTCATTTAAGTGCTCTATATTCCACCAACAGATAATTGGGACCCAATTGAAAAATATCCAGATGAACCATTTTATTACTTTTCGAAAAATGGAAACCATCAGCTCAAAGCAGGTATAATCTTAACTTTATTTTTACTAATGTATTATATAAAAACTAGCTGTCATTTGTTTTCCGGATTTATTTAAAAAAAAAACAGAAGGTTTAAGTTTAACTAAATGGTCAACACAATCGAAAAATCAAACGGATGAAGACGTCTGCAATATTTTTTTGTGTTTATATTCTAGGCCTATGAGTCTAACTAAAAATCCTTAAGTACTAATTTTCTCATCACCAATGTTTCTACTTCAAAAGTTAATAATTGGACTGTCATTGCTTATAATGTTTTTGTAACAGTTAAATGCTATTTTTATACTTATACATTCAAGGGTTCCTCCGATAGGCACTTCGCTTGACTTAATGTTAGAAACTAATTAGGTTGTGTGTAAGACAAAATGTCGACATGGACCCTTGTATCCCTTCTATGAATCATCAATTATGCTATTAAAATTGTTCAATATTGGTAAAGTACAAGCAAACGAAATTTTAACGGAGTTCATGTGCTTAAATGTGTTAAGTAGAAAGTTATCATCATAGCCATTTTAAAAGACGCCCCAACGCCAGAATATAACACCTAGGTATGAAGGAATGGGAAAATGGAGAAATACCCAAAAAATAATCAACACTAATAGGACTGTTACACCAATGTTCATGTGGGCCAACTGAGAGAATTTCCTGGGTCCACAGGGATTTTTCCGTACTCTATTAAGCTTATTGTAAGCACTTGAAAACTGAAAATTGGAGATTAAGACGTGTTTTAACCTGTGGCTAAGATTAGTTGTTTAAATATTCATTTATGATTGACGCATCTTTAAATTTATTTTACAGAGTTAATCGTCATTGGCATCGGAGCTCTGTTTGCCTTCTACCTGGCCAAGCAGATGGAATGTGAAAAACAAGCCTCAAAGATCTAAGATTGTAGGAAACAATGGATTTAAGCTCCACTTTGAATATGTTTAGAATGTACTTAGAAAATAAACATCTAAATGCTAAACGTTTGAAAACTGGTAGATAGTAACTAGAAAATTATCAAAGAATGATAACAATATACATTGAAACAGTACCATAAAACATTACATTTTAAATATGAAATTAAACTGTATATCAATTTATGCAGTATAAAAATAGTAATTGTATACAAAACTGTAGGAAACCATTCAAAACTTTAAATAAACTGTTGCAAATTAAAGAAAATTTTCTTATTTTTCGGGTGTACTTAGTATTGCAAAACACTTCAGTTATATTAGATCTTTTTTTTTCTTGACTGAACTGGATCTGTGCATTTTAAGGTTTGGGTTAAATATTACTCGTTAGTTAGTGCGGCATTACAATGTTTGATGTGTGGCTTCTGAACGTACACTCTAGTAAATCACTGACAAAGTTTGGAGTTGTAGCCAACACAAGAATCGGAGTTTAAAAATATTAGAAAGATTTTAATTAACATAGTAATTTACTCAGCTTTTTTGATGAGACCAGGTTCCCTGGTTGATCTTATTCAATGACAATTCAAACAAAACATAAATACAGGCAAACATATTGAGCTTCAGATATCTTTGCTTTGCTCAAGGCGTTGTACTGAATTTATATATTAACTGTAACTTAAATAATTTAGATTCACGTTAGTAAATGAACATGAGATTTTTAAGACCAGGTTTTAACGAAATTCTGCTTTCTGCTTTAGAAGTATATATAATTGAGTACATTTAGTCAGAATTTAAAAAAAAACATCAATATTGAATGATAAAACACATACTTACTGAAAGTGATTGTCAATTTGACAGATCTCGCATTGTCGTCTGGGTCAAACACGATGATGCAGTTTCTGCATTTGTGAAACCCCATATACTTCTGTGTACTTAAAGATATATAGTATTGTTCATGTGTGATGGAAACCTTTACCCTGTACAGTTTTTCAGGGAAAAATGGTGGCACATTCTGGCGGTCCAAGTCCGAAGTTTGATCCAATGTTTGATTATTTTTATTTGAAGCCTGAGGTAAACATACAGTATAAATAATGAAATTTGAAGAAACACAAACTATTAATTGTGTTTAAGATATGTAACTGTTTAGAATCAAACACTTAAACTAATTACATATATGAGTCAACCCAGCTCTAATGGGTACCTGACTCGCGATGGGGAAAGCAAAGGCGGATGAGCACCGTGCTGACATCAAGATCCTTTCGTATGCTTTGGTCAAGAAAGTGGTGAACTCTACTTCATTCCATTTTTTTAAATTAATATTGTATATGACGTCACACACTCAAATTTTTACTGTCCATGTTCTATGTGGAGGAGGGGGGGGGGGGTAGTGGGCTTCCACAATTGATTACAATTTCCACAAGGAGTGAGGTTGTATTGTGGAACAATGTATTACATAAGTGGAGAGGGGAGAGTAAACTTTTTCAACAGCTTTTTTTTTCTAACATAGCGATAAAAATTATACACGATCAAATCTTGACGCCGAGTTTCTAAATTCTCTGCACTAAAAATGCTCAAAGATAGTTTCACCAAGATTAAACATGCTAAAAAAGTTAATACTAATTAGTGGGTACATTATTCCTTATTTTTTCTTACAAAATTAAACATCTTGATAACTATTTTGAAAAAAAAAATTAATTTAATAAGGGAGCGGGCGTGATTAATGTATGACGTCATTTTAGCAGAGATTTGACTTGTGACAATGGGATGAGAAAGGGCGAGATCAGTACACAATACGCCGTTGATATACGCGATTTTAAATTTTCCCACGTTTTCTTTAACTTGCTTTCGCGTCTGTTTGTTTGTTTGGTTCTCCAATCAAATCTTGCTATCGAAATTTCGGGCACTTCCCAGTTAGCTAGCGCGCTGAAATTTTTAGGGAAGCTTTGTTTCCGATGACAATAGAATATTCAATTGTTATTATTACCAAATTGATCCATGGAAACATTTTATTGATAATTTTAGATCCCTATATATTTGTACAAAAAACGTGGGGAAAAAGGGACATAACCCAGTAATTGTAATTTGATGAAAACAAGGTTCGGTACTCTCCCTCTTTTGGCTTACTGAGTAGTGGTCACGCGGTGTTTGTGTACAAACAACCGGAACGTAACAACTGGAGGCCAGTATGGGAGAGACGATATGGTCGAGTGGTTGGGCATACGATTGCTAACCCACTCGACACGGGTTCAAATTTATGTGTTCTAGTCAGTAACGTATTCACACAACAAAGCCATAACCCGCCCCTTGTAAAAACAACGCTTCGTGTCTAACTTCCAACTTTTATTTTGTCTTAATTCTTTACACACAACAGACCAGCCCTGAAACGTCGATTGGAAAAGGCACGTGTTTTTTACGAGTTGTCTTCGTTTACCCAAAAAAAAGGTAATGCGAGAAGATAAAAAAGAAAGCAAGATTTGAATGCAAACAAACAGACAAAGACTAAAAAGTAAAAAAAAATTATCATTAAAAAAGTTTTTAAAAACCCACGTTTTCTGATTGAACTAAAAAGTAGAAAATAAATGCTATACAACACAATAATTTAAGCGATCACTCTACTATAAGCGATGAAAAACGTGGGGCGCCGTGATTTTCTTACAGTTTCTAATACTGTTGACTCTCTACAAGCTCCCTAATAAAAGTCAATAGTATTATCTAATCAATAGTAATATAACTTTTACATCTTATATTAACAATGACCGATAAAAAACTTTTACTTCGGCGCCCCATGTTTTTCATCGCTTATAGTAGAGTGATCGCTTACATTATTGTGATGTATAGCATTTATTTTCTACTTTTTAGTTCAATCAGAAAACGTGGGTTTTTTAAACTTTTTTTAATGATAATTATCGTTCAGCTGAGTTAAGATTAACATTCTGAGAATTTCACATTTTAAGAGCGAAAGATTATCACTATTTTTTCGTGTATTTCTAAGGACTAGTTTTTAAACACGGTCATAAAAAAAACATGACAGAATTTATAGCATTATACAATAAGTATCTTCTTCTTCTTTCTTCTTCGTTCTTAATTATTAGTGTTGAAGGGGATCGAGATTTATCTGCCAGTGGGTTTGAACTCGAGACTTTTTGCCGACTCGACCACGCCTCCAACACAATTAAGCGTTACGTGTCAACTGGTTATGTTCCATTGAGGCCATTGACTCCGATTTCAGCCTGCTTTTCTTTTTGGATTTGCTTCCATAGCCTTTGTCCAAACAAGAACAAACTGCAAGGCAGCAGTTGTTTGATTTTGGAACCGAACCCCTTACAATAAGTATGAAAATATTTAAATAAAAGAATAAATAATTTAAAATGTTAACTCACGTCCGGCGGCCTCGTAGTTTTGTCCCCTGGTAAAAAAAAATGACAAGCTGTTTGAAAGTGTTCTCGTGAAATTCAGGTAATTAATTAATTTATACTCAAACAAACATTTTGCTTTCTTACGTCTTGACCACATAGCCATGTAATTTACAAAAAAATAATTGTGAAATATCTGGTGAGATTTACTTACCGGAGCCTGACTCCACAATCTCTGTAATACACATCAACAACATGGTTCCAAGCATCATCTTTTTTAAAGACTCCATGACGCTCATCTGTCTATAAATCTTAACCAGTCCTAGTGAATTCCGCTTAAAGAAATTATAAAAGCAACATACGGAGATGAAAAATTTATAAATCAAAACAAAATTGTAAGTGGCGCCGCCCTTGTTAAGTAATATACCATTAAAGTCTTTACTGTATTTTAGCATAATCAAAACATATTTATAATAATCTAAATATGTTTTACATTAGTTAGAATTAATCTCAGGGTGTCATTATTTCTTTATAATTAAAATAAATACAAAAGAATATTTTTCATGGGAACCTTTAATAAATGACCACATGCATAGACGACAGATGATGGTGAAGTTGTAAAGTTTATTGTAAAGAAAGACAATCGTGTAAATATTGGGTTTATTTCAAGAAATATTTTGATCATGTCCCTTGGCCTTAATAAAGAGCTACAATGTCAGAAATGTTGAGTTCACCTTTGGACTTGAATATATAGGCCGATCTAATACCGTTCTGCCCAGATCTAAAACTTGGAGTAAAATTTACTGACCACAGTGTACATTAAATAACTAGATCTAGATGTAACTAAAAGTTTCACAATTTATTACTTCGAGAAAGGTTTACAACATTTTTATTGTACACTTTGCTAGTTGTTAACAAATAACTTTGGAAAGTGGGTATGTGTGGGTGTATGCGCGTATGTATGCGTGCGTGTTGTTTCCAGTCAATATTTTAGCCAACGTAATACAATTTGTTCTACTCCACTCGATATTATACCCAACATAATACAACTTGCTCTACTCCACTCGATATTAAACCTAACATACCCTAACAGCCACAGACAACTAACCAGAACACGCTAAACATAATCTAAATTTCCCTTAACAAAAACTTGACATTAAATCTTTACTTTCTCACGCTAGCTCTAACCACACCACCCTTACACTAACTAATGGTAACATCATACAGGTTCATTTAAGAGAAAGTCCACCTATCTACTGTTTTATGGGGAGTTTAATCCATTGACCGTCTTTTTAAACTTATGCCTCTGGTCCACCTAAACTGACAACGATAAATTGTCAAGCGCCAAGTCTGAAATAGAAAGCTGTCAGTCTAAGTTTCTAACAAGACAAAAACGTAACTACCTTTTCTCAACTATGACGTAAACTGTGCAGTCGTTTCATGATCCTCTTTTCTAATTTGTAGATTTGACATTTGATATACTGTATGTTCACAAAATGTTTCATCACCTTGTGTTGGCTTTGTCTATTAAAAGTCTGATCTTCAACTCTTTAAAGTGTTGTGTGCAAATGTTTTTTGAAGTTGCTGGTAATCCAGGGAATATGGGAAGAGAGAGTTTGACTAACTGACAAGATCATTGGACGTCTTAATGGGGTGCAGTGGTTGAGGCCATGTAGAGTTTGGCAATCTGTCGAGAACAGAAACAGTGAAACTGACGTGCACAGGTGGAAGTAAGAAATGTCTTTGTCAACAGTGTGACAACAAGTGTTTAGACAAAGTAGCGTGGTGACATCTTTACAAGTTCAATGGGCAGATCATATCTTGTTGTCTCGATAGTCTGGTCATATCACATGTACTCCTTACTTAGACCGAACAGTATTGTCCAACTTTATCCGAACT